CAAGTTAATTGTTATGGAGAGCAGTAGGGCAAAAGCTTGAGACTGAGTCATCACCGGGTATCAATTTATTAAGGAAGTTTTTCATTATCAATGTTAGTTCGTTCTGACTAAGTGGGGAAACTGAAAAATTTGAAGAGTTTTCGTAAGTTGGTGAAAAGAATGTCGACGAGTCATTAGTTTGTGCATTTACAATATCTTCTGGATCAGTGTATTTATTATGCTGCTCATCAGTCATATAATTATTGGGAATTCTAGGCATACCTTTTTTGATGTTTATGAAGTTTCGTACACCAGAAGGATTTAATTGTAAGTTAATCTCCACTTGGTTGAAACAGCGATGATATGTACTATTTAATATCTTCAGCTATTGGCAACTAACGTTCAAGTTCCATTGTAAAATTTTTGTTGTTTGCAAGAACCGGGTCAACTGCTGATTACAGTATTATGCTGTACGAGTAAAAGGGAATCGCAAACTCATGGGAATTTTGAGTATTTAAGAATGAGATTGAAAAGAACACAGAATGGTTTCGCAAATACGAGTGCACAGTCTTTTAAAATAAAACTAGACATGTTATTATCAACACCTAAAGTAACAGAGTCTTCAGCTCTTTCTAATTATTTTAAGATGTCATCAGAGCGGTAAAAGTTTTGAGAAGCTGATATTATTGATGATTAGGATTGTCGTCAAACAGAGATTATCCTGTGATTGCTTGTTCTCAAGAGTTACTCAATCGGTACTTATTTTAGTGAGATTGACTTTACAAAATTGTGAGTTTTTCATTGTCGTACTACCTTAAATTGTTACTTACATTGTAGTGATTAGTTTTTACCAGCTGATAACACAGCCGCAGTCGGTGGTTATTTCCCGAAAGGAAAAGGTGTAATATTAGCATTTTCTTAAATACCTGATAGTCATGGCCGAAACTGCATCTCAATTCTCAGTTAAAGACCAAACAATTGTGATGAATGCAGTAAGTGAATTAAAACTTACTGACTATGTGACTGCGATTGGTAATCTGATGACTCCTAAAGATATACTTTTTGCAACCCATATGGTCAACGTTCGGGTTTGTATTTATTTGAGTAATGAGGCACTTGTAGATCAAATAGTATCTGAACAACCTGCACTCATTATCAATGGAATTGAAATTAAAATTCGTCGGTTATTAAACCTAGCTAAACGCATCATCTTATCTAATGTGTGTCTGACGATTCATCACTCCATTGTTGAGAATCAAGTAAAAATGTTGGGGTTTACAGCTGTCTCGCCTATAACTTTTCTCAAAGCTGGTATCCAGAACAGTGCTTTTTCACATGTGTTCAGCTTCCGTGGACAAATCTATGTACAATCTTCATCTGTCGTGTTTAAGTATGAGTCACTTTGCAGTTGACTGTCCTAATCCTATAGTTCTCCCCTCTGAAAACGCCAAACAATCTGTAGACCTTGTTCAAGTTTATCCCAGTAATAAACGACAAACTACTAATAATGATCCAAATGAAGTAACTCCTTTGGATCTGATTCAAATATTCCGTGATAAAGATGCTCGTGAAAAGAGAAGGCCCAAAAAAAATGAAAATTAGTGACGCACTTGAAAGTATCACACCTACATCTGAACTGTTGTCACCTGCTAGATCATTCGGGGGTACAGTATTCCGTCGACTTCAACCAGTTCGTATGGATAAGGAGGTAGCAACGTCATGGATCTTGTTAACAAATACACAACTGATGTTCAGGGAATGTTAAATTTTTTATATGATGTATTCCCTCTTGTAGAACACAAAAGCATCAAAAACAAATGTTTAAAAGCCCAACGTAAACTGAAAAAGTCATACGCAAACATCAACTGATGCCGTTCCTCCAACAGAGTCGTTTCTAATTTGTCCTCTTCAAGATGATTACTAATAGTAATAAACTTTCTCAAGCATTCTGTAACCCTTTAATAGCATATACTAACATAGCATCTTTGCCTGCAAAATATGATGAATTGTGTTTTTTTGTTGCCTCGAATAAACCGGCTATATTTTTAATCACTGAAATTTGGTTAATTATAGCAATACCCGATTCTCTATAGTCTTTACCAGGTTATTCAATATACAGAGCTGACCGAAAAGGTAGATGTGGTGGGGGTGTATGTATCTATGTTTCTCATTCGATTACTTCTGTATTCAAAGTCACTCTTCTTGATGTCAGCATTGATAAGATCGAAATTCTCTTTCTAAACTTCAAAATTAACACTTGTTCGCTTCTACTTGGTTGTATTTATAGGCCTTCATCTAATGTTATTAAATATGGCTTAGTGTTATTTCTCTCTGTATAGCTTATCTGAAAACTACACTCATTTATTGCTATTTGGGGATTTTAACATGCCCGAAATAAATTGGACGTCTTGTCTGTCAAATTCTCGCTCCACTTCGGAGCAATTGTTAGCAAAATTATTGCAGAACTCACATCTTGTTCAGATGGTAAATCAATCGACGAGGTATAGACAAAACCAAGATGCATCAAGAGTAGATCTTATTCTATCATCCGACGAAATTTTGTTCACGAACATACGTACAGTATTTGGATCCGATTAGTAAATCGGTCCATGTAGTTATCTCAGGAGAACTACAGTTATGCTACAAAGTGAAAAAATTGGTCTAAAGAGTTTAGACAGTACTTCCCTCGCTGTCGGAAACTTGACGACTGCATGCCTATTGTGTTTTTTTTTCACATTACATTTTTGTAGTGGGAATTTAAAAAAAAATTGTGATGACGTCATCAACATTTTTGCAAGGACACGTATATCAGTTGGGATAGATGTAGTGTAATACTAAGAATAAAATTATTGTATTCCCAAATTTTCGGGAAAATGAATTGGGTCGTTTTGAATATTGATTTCTTATAATCAATAAAATAACGAAACAATTTACTCAGGTATACGGCGCCGGTGTGTAATATCTAGAGAGCGGATTTCTGTCGGGCTAGGCAAGGCCAAACTCGGTACGGCTCGTACGGGATGCGAATTTATTGCGATTGCGGACTGCACTTCGTTTATTTGAGATTAGAATAAAGCTGTTTCGTTGCACTCTGCTGTTAATTCCCGTTCTCATTTACTTAGCCGTTTGATTAATAAATCGTTAATTATATTTATGGAATTAGCACCGATTAAACGTGACGTAGCCCGACAAAAATCCGCTGTCTGGTAATATGAAAGGCAACTGAAAATCGTTTATGTATAAACATTCTTAATTTAAGATGACAAGCGTAACAGCATACGTGAGAGTCAAACAGAGAAACTGTAAACAAAACGACCATCGGTTTTATTGCTTCGACTTCCGCTTATTATATAAAACATTGGGTTTTATTTTAATTCTTGACGGTGAAATTCACAATTGGTTGATTATAAACATGTCTATTCCACATTCGCGGAACCAAGTGAGCGCATAAAACAAATGCAGGTCTGTAATGTTAAAGTCGATGTAAATAAGCGTGCTACCCTTATGTTTCAACCGAGTTTTTCCTTTAACAAATTTTGTGTCTACCAAATTGGGTTGGTTGGGGTGTAATACTAATAATAAGTGTTGCCTTTAATTTAATCAATAAAATAAATTGACTTCATTAATTTTTTTGAACCACCCCTTAAGAAAATCTAAAAAATATGAATGGAATGATATATCACAAGTACAAACTCATCATATTTTTTGCATTTTAGATAGGATTTATTCAGCAAAATTTAAGGGTGACGTCGTCAATTTTTTTAGGAGGGATGAACAAATACATTTTGAACAAAAGTTTACCATGCTTATAATAACTTTAAAATATTCCCAAGATTTCAAAGCATTCGGTTTTGTAATTCCTGATTAAATCGATAAAATAAATTCACGCCTTCATTAATTTTTTTGAGTCACCCTGCATATGCAAATCCAAAAATATGAATGGAACATTTTAGATACGATTTATTCGGCAAACTTTTGAGCTGACGTCATCAGTTTTTTGTAGAAGATAACCAAATATATTTTGACTAAAAATTTATTATGCTCTCTATATCCTTAAAACATCTGCAAGATTTCAAAGCATTCGGTTTTGTAGTTCCCGATTAAATCAATAAAATAAATTTACGCATTCATTAATTTTTTTGAGTCACCCTGTATATGCAAATCGAAAAAAATTGAATGGAATGATAAATCACAAGAAGAGACTCACCATATTTTGTACATTTTAGATAGGATTTATTCAGCAAAATTTTGTGGTGACGTCATAAATTTTTTAGGGGGGACGACCAAATTCATTTTGATCAAAAATTTACCATGCTTATGATAATTTTAAAATATCTTCAAGATTTCGAAGCATTCGGTTTTGTAGTTCCTGAGTAAATCAGTAAAATAAATTTACGCTTTCATTTATTTTCTTGAATCACCCTGTATATGCAAATCCAAAAAATATGAATGGAGTGATAGATCACAAGTACAGACTGATCATATTTTGTACATTTTAGATATGATTTATTCGGCAAATTTTCGAGCTGACGTCATCAAGTTTTTGGAGGGGATAAGCAAATATATTTTGACTAAACATTTATTATGCTCTTTATAACCTTAAAACATCTGCAAGATGTCAGAGCATTCCGTTTTGTAGTTCCTGATTAAATCAATAAAACATATTTACGCATTCATTAATTTTTTTGAGTCACTCTGTATATGCAAATCCAAAAAATATGAATGGAATGATAAATGACAAGTACAGACTCATCATCTGGATTCTGGATTCTTAATTTATGGGGGCTGACCGTAGCCAGCCGGCACTTAGGCCTCGCCTTTGGGCCCATTGTACCTTCCCCAAGTCCATATCAGGGTGTTTTCCCGCTCCTCTACTCGTCAAGCCATCCAACTGCTTGAATGTACTTGAGTAATGCAGAGGGTGGAAACTCCCTGATATTTGCCATACTAGGCCAGATGTCCCCTAGTATGGATTCCCTGTAGGAGGCTAGGGCTGGACACTCACGAAGAATGTGCTCAGCTGTTTCCTCTTCTTCATTGCATCCACGACAGATTGGGTCTGTTACTACCCCTATCGTATGTAGATGTTTGTTAAACTGGTAATGTCCCGTAAGGAATCCTACCAGTTTACGCAGTTTGTCCCTTGAAAGTGAGAGATAAAATTTTGTCAACTTACGGTCTGGTGTCGCCATACAAGCTCTACTATGCCGACAGCTGCTCAACGTCGCCCATATCTGCTCATGGCGTCTATGGGTATATTGCTTTACGAGTTCGTTCGAGAGGGCGACCGAAGGCGTGATTGCCGGTTCGGGTCCCCAGAAGGGCATGCGCGCAGACTCATCATATTTTGTACATTTTAGATATGATTTATTCGGCAAACTTTCGAGCTGACGTCATCAATTTTTTGGAGGGGATAAGCAAATATATTTTGACTAAACATTTATTATGCTCTTTATAACCTTAAAACATCTGCAAGATTTCAAAGCATTCGGTTTTGTAGTTTTTGAGTAAATCAGTAAAATAAATTTACGCATTCATTAATTTTTTTGAGTCACCCTGTATATGCAAATCCAAAAAATATGAATGGAGTGATAGATCACAAGTACAGACTCATCATATTTTGTACATTTTAGATATGATTTATTCCACAAACTTTTGAGCTGACGTCATCAAGTTTTTGGAGGGGATAAGCAAATATTTTTTGAGTAAAAATTTATTATGCTCTTTATAGCCTTAAAACATCTGCAATATTTCAAAGCATTCTGGTTAGCAGATTAAAAATTAAATTTCAAAATGTTGTTTTATAATTTTGATTTTTGATCTGGACGTTTCGGGTGAAAAGTCGATTCAGAGTTGTAAACTACATGTGTAGGACTATGTTATTTTATACAATTGAAAACCCATTTACTATGTACAATTTTGAAGTGACGTCATCGCATTACTGGTGGGGATGATTAGACAAATTTTGGTTAGCGTTTTACGATCTACATGATATTCTTAATATAAGTACAAAATTTCACAACAATCTGTCGAGTACTTTCGGAGATTATCTGTCTAATAAAAATCCGGGACGGCAGACGGACGGACAGACGGACGGACAGACGGACAGACGGACAGACGGACAGACGGACAGACGGACAGACGGACAGACAGACGGAAATGGGAGACCTATTTCTTCGTCTTCTAGGGTTCATGAAAGATCGAGAAAACGTAAAAGTAGAGAGTCGGCCGACGGACTCGATTACAATACTTCCTTTGCTTACGCTCGGGAAGTAAAAATAAAATTACACGATAATAGCAAAACATACGCTAATATTTATTTCGAAAAAATCTGGTACAAAGCCGTGGATCAACTCGCGAATCCTAAAAATAGTCAAGGAAAAATGTCGTCTTTGGAAAATCTACAAACGTTCGAGAAATCAAACTGATTATGTATCACACTGACTATTCCATGCATATCGGTTAAAAACCAATCTGATTGGTATGTAGCGTGGGCTTTTCAGTTATAATACCACAAGAGCATAGAAAATAATCGAAAATACTAACCGATTAACGAGACTTATAATCTGAAAAACCACGAGACCGAAGGTCGAGTGGTGTTTCTGATTATTGTCGAGTTAAGAGGTTAGTATTGAGATTATTTTCTAATGCTCGAGTGATATTCGTTACGATTATATAATGAATTGACAGTATACTAATTACTTTTACACTAAATTAACTTTAATTATTATGAAAATGAAAAATACAGTTATTATAATAAATATTATTTTTTATTAAGAAGTTCCTGCTGTTGAAGGGAGGACGTTGATGGCACCGATGACGACGAAACATTTTGATTGTTCCGAATTTGATTGATGATTTTGGTATGATGCTGTTCGTTGAGTTTTAAGTATGGCTTCAATGAGTTTGATGTAGAATGACCAGTTACTTTGATAATCTCTTGCAAATTTGCACCAGCATTTGCTAATACACTCACTGCGGATAAACGGTTAGAATGGTTGGTGATTCTTGCTTTTTTTGTGTGTATTCCAACATTCTCTGCACCTAAACGTGTCCATTCACTTATCTAATTTACGCCAACAGGGCAGTTCTTGTACCAAACATTTGTTGCCTTCCAATTATTAATTGGCGTTAAAAATAACCGGTTCGTCTTGGTGTTCGGGGTGCGTTTGAACATCATTTTTACTTCCCGAGCGTAAGCAAAGGAAGTATTGTAATCGAGTCCGTCGGCCGACTCTCTAATTTTAGGTTTTCTCGATCTTTCATGACCCCTAGAAGACGAAGAAATAGGTCTCCCATTTCCGTCTGTCTGTCCGTCTGTCCGTCCGTCTGTCCGTCTGTCCGTCTGTCCGTCCGTCTGTCCGTCCGTCTGTCCGTCCGTCTGTCCGTCTGTTGTCCCGGATTTTATTAGACAGATAATCTCCGAAAGTACTCGACCGATTGTTGTGAAATTTTGTACTTATATTAAGAATATCATGTAGATGGTAAAACGCTAACCAAAATTTGTCTAATCATCCCCACCACTAATGCGATGACGTCACTTCAAAATTGTACATAGTAAATGGGTTTTCAATCGTATAAAATAACATAGTCCTACACATGTAGTTTACAACTCTGACTCGACTTTTCACCCGAAACGTCCAGATTTTTGGAAAAAAAATCAAAATTATAAAACAACATTTTGAAATTTAATTTTTAATCTGCTAACCAGAATGCTTTGAAATGTTGCAGATGTTTTAAGGCTATAAAGAGCATCATAAATCTTTAGTCAAAAAATATTTGCTTATCCCCTCCAAAAACTTGATGACGTCAGCTCAAAAGTTTGTGGAATAAATCATATCTAAAATGTACAAAATATGATGAGTCTGTACTTGTGATCTATCACTTTATTCATATTTTTTGGATTTGCATATACAGAGTGACTCAAAAAAATTAATGAATGCGTAAATATATTTTATTGATTTAATCAGGAACTACAAAACGGAATGCTCTGACATCTTGCAGATGTTTTAAGGTTATAAAGAGCATAATAAATGTTTAGTCAAAATATATTTGCTTATCCCCTCCAAAAACTTGATGACGTCAGCTCGAAAATTTGCCGAATAAATCATATCTAAAATGTACAAAATATGATCAGTCTGTACTTGTGATCTATCACTCCATTCATATTTTTTGGATTTGCATATACAGGGTGATTCAAGAAAATAAATGAAAGCGTAAATTTATTTTACTGATTTACTCAGGAACTACAAAACCGAATGCTTCTAAATCTTGAAGATATTTTAAAATTATCATAAGCATGGTACATTTTTGATCAAAACGTATTTGGTCGTCCCCCCTAAAAAATTTATGATGTCACCACAAAATTTTGCTGAAAAAATCCTATCTAAAATGTACAAAATATGGTGAGTCTCTTCTTGTGATTTATCATTCCATTCAAATTTTTTCGATTTGCATATACAGGGTGACTCAAAAAAATTAATGAATGCGTAAATTTATTTTATTGATTTAATCAGGAACTACAAAACCGAATGCTTTGAAATCTTGCAGATGTTTTAAGGTTATAAAGAGCATAATAAATTTTTAGTCAAAATATATTTGGTTATCTTTTACAAAAAACTGATGACGTCAGCTCAAAAGTTTGCCGAATAAATCGTATCTAAAATGTACAAAATATAATGAGTCTGTACTTGTGATTTATCATTCCATTCATATTTTTGGATTTGCATATGCAGGGTGACTCAAAAAAATTAATGAAGGCGTGAATTTATTTTATCGATTTAATCAGGAATTACAAAACCGAATGCTTTGAAATCTTGGGAATATTTTAAAGTTATTATAAGCATGGTAAACTTTTGTTCAAAATGTATTTGTTCACCCCTCCTAAAAAAATTGATGACGTCACCCTTAAATTTTGCTGAATAAATCCTATCTAAAATGCAAAAAATATAATGAGTTTGTACTTGTGATTTATCATTCCATTCATATTTTTTAGATTTTCTTAAGAGGTGGTTCAAAAAAATTAATGAAGTCAATTTATTTTATTGATTAAATTAAAGGCAACACTTATTATTAGTATTACACCCCAACCAACCCAATTTGGTAGACACAAAATTTGTTAAAGGAAAAACTCGGTTGAAACATAAGGGTAGCACGCTTATTTACATCGACTTTAACATTACAGACCTGCATTTGTTTTATTCGTTCACTTGGTTCCGCGAATGTGAAATAGACATGTTTATAATCAACCAATTGTGAATTTCACCGTCAAGAATTAAAATAAAACCTAATGTTTTGTATAATAAGCGGAAGTCGAAGCAATAAAACCGATGGTCGTGTTGTTTACAGTTTCTCTGTTTGACTCTCACGTATGCTGTTAGGCTTGTCATCTTAAATTAAGAATGTTTATACATAAACGATTTTCAGTTGCCTCTCATATTACACTGATATTACTAGACAGCGGATTTCTGTCGGGCTACGTCACGATTATAGGTGAGGACGCGCTGGATCGCCGGGACTCAGTAGCGGGTGATATATAATCACTGAATTTAATCAGTACTAATTCCATAAATATAATTAACGATTTATTAATCAAACGGCTAAGTAAATGAGAGCGGGAATTAACAGCAGAGTGCAACGAAACAGCGTTATTCTAATCTCAAATAAACGAAGTGCAGTCCGAAACTGCAATGAATTCGCATCCCGTACGAGCCGTACCGAGTTTGGCCTTGCCTAACCGGACAGAAATCCGCTCTCTACATATTACACACCGACGTCGTATACGTGAGTAAATTGTTTCGTTATTTTATTGATTATAACAAATCAATATTCAAAACGACCCAATTCATTTTCCCGAAAATTTGGGAATACAATAATTTTATTCTTAGTATTACACTACATCTATCCCAACTGATATACGTGTCCTTGCAAAAATGTTGATGACGTCATCACAATTTTTTTTAAATTCCCACTACAAAAATGTAATGAGAAAAAAACACAATAGGCATGCAGTCGTCAAGTTTCCGACAGCGAGGGAAGTACTGTCTAAACTCTTTAGACCAATTTTTTTATACAACCTCACTGGACACAAATCTTCATTTTCTTTGTTCGGTGTCAGCCGCTTGCTGTCGACGAGATTTTTGTCGCCTCCTTGAGCTGTTTTTCAAAAAATTGTGTTGTACTCCAAGCGACCTGTTGGTAAGCCGTAATTATTCAATTCCTTTTTAAAAAAATTAACCACACATGATGCTGCTTCATTTCCACGCCAGGCCAGCTCCACAGCTGCATTTTGATAAAATTTTTTCTGTAAGCCGTCGGGCGTATTTTCGTCAAAATTCTGGATGATTTTTAGAATCTCGTCTCTTGTTAAAGCTGCAGAACTAGCTTTCCTTTTTTCTGGTATTAATTGAAGTTGCTTTCTTTTCGTTGACCGAGCTTTACGGGCCCCTTCAAATGCCAAATCTTTGAAACGATCGATTTTTCGATTGTGGTTTTTGAAGTATTGTTCTTGTAGAAGCTTGGCACTCACGTTCCATATACACTTCACAACTCCTTCTTTGTAGTCTGACCCATCTTTCCGTTTCATAGTAAACGCCCAGTCCTTCAAGATATTTCCCAATTCATCATTAGATGTCCAGGCCATTAACCTATAGTTTCGTTGCTTGCAAACCTCTTGAAATTGTTTCCAAATGTAATTTTCAATTTTTGTTGTATTCAATGGCTTTAAGTTGCCAATTGCTTCGTCAATATCTGCCGAAGAATTTTTACCAAAACGATTCATTTCATTTAAATTCAACAAATTTAATTTAATGACAAATTTGCTGTTTATTTATACTCTACGTTACTAGGGAAAAAGGTAAGTTGAATAGTAGATTTTTGTCTAGAAAGACCTAGCGAAACACCAAAACGATTATATAACGTCGTCAAGGGTATGATCGATACGTTGGTACCTAACGAAATTAAAGAATCTGATTGGTTTAAAGAATCATGAATTATATAATCACAAATATTCATCCTACTCATGGTATTACTATTGAATATATTCGAATAACTAGATTGTTGAATATAATAAAGAAAGCTAGAATTTCATTAGAAAATAACGTTGCTAACTCAAAGGATTCCAAAACTCTATAACTGAAAAATCATAACGGTGATCAGTAAACTACTTGGTGGAATCACTCATTCATCCTACGCTGACCTCTAATTCCATTGTTCACTCTTCTATTCTCCTGGATGTAGAATTCTCGGAGGAAAATATATCAAAAAGAATTAACTTGTTGAAAGAAAACACCTCTCCAGGACCAGATGGACTATCCGCTACTATGCTAAGAAACTATGCTCAATCTCTATGTAAACCTCTCAGCATTCTGATGACTCAGTCTTTTAAATCGGGCTCTCTTCCTTCTGATTGGAAGCTAGCTAATGTGAAACCTATTTATAAAAAAGGGGACAACTACTGCGCGATTAATTATAGGCCCATAAGTCTCAAGATGGAATCGTTCTCTTCGTACATCTCACAAAAAACAATTTTCTTGCTTCTTTTTTGAGTTTGCTTTTTGTTCATAGTAATTTAAATCAGCTTATTCACAAAAAAAAAATCATACGAGAATTGCTGTATGTACCCAACAGCCCAATAGGCCATATTGATTCCACATCACAAACGAACTTGTTATCAGTAATCCCAACTAAAAAGCTGTTAAGAAAGTACAACTAGTGCAGATCATTTAAAAGCAGAAAAAAGGAGCTGCACAATTCTCAAAATATGAAATTGATAACTTAATTGAGATTAAAACTATCCAGAGAAAACTTATGTGCGGTATAAAATAGAACGCATATTGACTCGTCAAATCACCATCACAAATAATTGCATTGTAAGCAAACGAAAGGGTGTATTACTTTACTGATTGCTCCTATATGGTATAAAAACGTTCCAGAAGGTATCCCAGTGGAGATCTACCACATTTTGTTTGAAACATATAAGAAACAGCCAATAGGCCATATTGGGTGCTAGGCCATATTGAGTTCAGTTACCTTAATTGCAAAGGATATATTAGCAGTGACGGAGTGGAGTAAAAAATGGCCCATTCCTTTGACTATTAGCAAATGTGTTTTCTTGCACATTGGCTCCCATAATTTCCAACGTAAAGAAAATATTTCTTAAAGCTCATTTGAGGATCCAAGCCTTCCGGTAAGCCTTACCGGATTGTCAATTGCCTCCAGAACCTATTTGGACAAGGTGAGGCCCATGGATTGAAGCGGCAATATATTATTGCGATCATTTTGATGATATAAAAAAGGTTTGTTTATTACTATTCCTAATTTTATTGTGTAATTCTAAATTAAAAGAAACATTTTAGGTTATTATCGAATTTGACTCCACAGTGTCGAAGTGCGTTGCAAATGCTCAATTTCCAAAAAAACCATCTCAAACATAATTTGACTTATATAAAAACCATTTTACCATCTTAAAAACAAGTAGGTAGAACTAGAATAGATACCACTAGGGCTGACTTTAAGTCAGTCTGTGGATCTAGTAGAGCAACTGTATAAACTGTTGGAAGATACCCCGGGAAGAGTAGATGAAATGACATTTAACAAGTAGCAAGATACTTTTAAAAAAATACCGGGTACAGCAGTTAAACTTGTCAGCAAAGTATTATAAGGCAAAAATGTAGAAACAGATTTAAAAATCCTTCTCTAGGTATAGAAATGTCCTAACACAAAAAAAGGAAACATTTTTCTGTCGAAAAATAAGAAAAATATCTAATTTGTTATGCAAATTTTAACGAAGATTAGGATCACTGATTTTGTCAAATAATAAAATAAATGTAGATCGCAAAGAAAACTAGACGTTGCATAAAATTCTTTTATCCTGAAAGTTGCCATTTTTGGGCCTAAACCCCCCGTTTTTATCGCCTATTTTAGGGCCTATTTTGTTTTTTTTTTTAATCCTAAAATCCGCTCTTTAATTAAAGGTGATAAGAGCTGGTGCACGTGTGGGGCATTTTTTGTTTTGTACACAGTCCCAAAATTTGTTTGGGTCTATAGAACATGTAAGTGCCATGTTGAGCATGTTAACTGGCCATGACAACTTCTACAATTAACAGAAATTTTAACATATGGAATTCATCCATATTTGGTTCGTAAAATCAAATGCATATATCAACGCTGCAGTTGCAGACTTGACAAGAAATAGTAGTAAATCTGTATCTCTAAATGTTTTGAGACAACTACAAAAACCAACATCAATAAAAATAATCTAATGTCTTCCTTACCGACAGTAGTAAGTAGCATGTTGTCCAAGAGCAACGCTATGGCGACGATGACAAGAACGAGGCGGCGCGACTCCCGGCATCTCTGTACCCAACCGCCGAACCGAGTTCCTGCCACCCATTCGTTGACCACAGTCATGATGATAAAATGTTACTCTTCAAATCTGAAAAAGAAGTTGAAAGAAAAGTTGACTAATTATACAAGCAAAGCTTCGATTTTAATTCTGCATCCATTGTTCTCTGATTTAAATATCACGTCATATTTATTCAGGAGGCAGTAAAGGCAACAAAATATGCTAAAAATGAAGTGGGATCATACACCTTAGCGTGCATATTACACAGGGGGTGATTATGTAAATAGTGTTTGGACGGGAGCATTATGACGAGACCGCCAGCTGCGTTTCGGCTAAGAAAACAGCGTGCACAGTGCATTTGATGTTTCATAAAAGAGATTTTATTTTATGCCAATACGAGACAAATTGGGTTAGATTTGCTTCGAATATACCTTTCTTTGTTGTGTATTATTTTTGAATTGAGGTTTAAGAAGTTCTGGCGGAATGGATTAGACTGAATTCATTTCAAGGAATTTAGGTCGGCTTTCTCTCAAGGGAGCAGGAATCAAAAATCTCGTCGTTGATTTGAAGGAAATCTACTTTAGTTGCAGTGAGGTTTTCAGAGTATTCTACTTTATTGCGTTATATTATTTTCGCAGATTTATTGTTAAGGCTTGCCGTTATGACTAATAAAAAATTCATAATTTGTTGGTAGAACTGCTGTTGTCATTTTCACATCAATCTATAATAATCATAAAAATTAACACCCCATTATACTTTATAGGGCACACTTCTTACATTAATAAAATCTTTCTTTTGACCAATATCTGCTGCTTTTATTTGATTTTGTTTATTGCATTCGTAAATATCGTAATGAAGTGCAGCGGGTGTTGAATATTTGATAAGGATTTTCTGCAGAATTGTTAGCACAAATTTGCAACACAAATAAGTGGTTATAAAACATCTTTCAGTTGTTCAAATAAAAACAGCGATAGAATTTGTAATATCTACAATCTGAGACTAGAAATTTTCTCATAAAATGTCTGCCTTAACATTTACGAAATGCACGCTCAAAATTATTAGGCGAGATTTACACTATCAAACCTTCTACAAAGACATTTGCTCCAATTCTCGTTTGATGTTTGTAGTACAGACGGTCAAATTTTCGTGAGATGAAAGAAATTTGTGACACAAAAGGTCACAAATGGGTTCAAAGAATCGATCGAGGTTGAAACGGGGTGTGTTGTAAAACCAACATTTATTTTTACGCAAGTTGATTGATATTTTAGAATTTAGACATAAGTAAAACTTGGTTTTTATTGTAAAAAGGGCAAAATGGCAAATTTTCACACTGGAAACATCCAGTCGAGGAATACATAAAGTTAGAATTTGTTTCTCTGATATTAAAAAGGAATTAAGATTATTATTGGTTTTAATATTTACACTAAGGAAGTTTCTTTATCTCACTAAGAAAATCTCTTATACTTTATTAGTGCGGTTTAATCACCACTATGCTAACTTCGTTCCAACAATGACTCACTCATTTGATGTAGAATTGTAAAAAAAATACATTTGAAATTGACAAATCTAAAATTAACAAAAAAGTTTCGTCAAAGACAAATAAAAATTCAAACTGAAATTTCACTGATTGGAAAAAATGAGACAACTCTGAAAAATGATCACAGACTTAATTCAAATTAATTTGAAAACGTAATTCCAATTGTTCCGATGAGGTATTTATTACCACATTTCATACGTACAAATATATCCGACAGATTTCCCAGCTTTACAAAACGAGTGATACAATTTTCACTTCCGAACAATAGTTAGTAAGCCTCGATGGATCGCTTGTTTACACAGCGTTTGGTAAAATGAGCAAAGCTATATGAGAATAAGTTTTTCATTACTTTTAGAATACACTTTTGTGTTTAATCAAGTTTTATGTTTAATGGATACAAATAAAACTCGACCAATATGCAGCGTCAATGAAAAGAGTTAAATGATAAATTTACGTCAGCAAAAATTCAGTCTGCAAATATACAATCCCGGATAATGCTGTTAAAATAACAATTTATTAAGTCCTAAATCACTGAATGCGAAAATATTTCAACATTGAAAAATAGGTACTTTCAAGTTGATTTTTACTTTTTTGCTGTATATCCAGGCAGAATTAAAAAAGTGTATTTGAAAATGTTTACATATGTGGTGTGTAAATTGAATGGGTGAAGTTATCGTATAGTTTTTCAGAAATATGAAAATGTGTTTGTTTGACTTAACTTTTCTTCCAAGACAGTAGTGTATCATACTTAAGAAAAATTATTTAGATGAGGTATGTAACGGGGTAGTTTTAACAAATTTTATGTTTTCCTAGTACTTCTCAGGGAGTACGAAAATATAAGGTTTCCGTTTTCAGCTGACTGTTGCTTAGTGACTGTTTTATTGGAAACTACCGAATGCGAGAAATAATTGGAAATTTCTACTCTTTTACTTCTGCCACACTTTTAATCGAAGTATCCATAACTCGTTAATACGTTCCGATTTATTTAGGTCACTTTTAAACTAAAAACTGCTGGTAAGGTAGATCGTTAATTCTCTAAGATATCCCTTTCTCAGTAAGTTTGTAAATTATTTCACCAGATGTAGGTCATTTCATCTATATTCAATATTAACGACACAGAGTCTGCTAGCTCGGTTGTTTTTTCCCATGCTGAGTTTAATATAACTGAAAAAAAAAAAATCTGTGCAATCAAGCTTTATTTGTTTTGTCTTTATTGTCGAACTGAGTTTTTTATTTTTTGATATTTGTTATAACTTTTGTTGCATGAAATTCATGCATTTCAACTCATTTTAAACGAAAAAAAGTCTTGACAAGGATTGATTTATTTTTCGTATATTTTTCTTGTAGCTAGTATTTTCCCAGCTATGCCAAAACGGTTTTAAGATACATGAATTATAGTCATTTCTTTTGTTTTCCTCATGTTGATAATCATACAACAGTGTTTTTACAAACTATCAGTATGGGTCAGTCTGTGAATATTTGAAAAATTTTGGCCATAGACAGTGATAATTTGCCAGAATAGAGAAAGGACGAAATAGAAAATACAGAATTTTTAAATACAGCATTTGCTTTAAAATGATCTATTTTTAAATTTTAAAGGATGAAGGTATGCGATTTGTACAAGACGAGCTCAGATGTGACATAATTGGTAATAATTCACAATAAGTGACTGTAAATATCTTTGTACTCAGATAAGCGACATCAAATAGGGTCCGAATTGTTAGCGTGGGTTATCTAAAATTGAAGACACAACTTTGACCGCCTCCACGTAAATTCTTTAGTCATTGTTGGATCCCTGACCTCTGTATGGATGTCACTTTTAGTTTAGTACAAGTGTTCAATACGTGTTTTAATCAGACTAGATATTGGACAATTCAATGAAAATTTATATTGTAACGGATCTGTCTCATAAATCTCATAAGTTTCATAACAATTTGTTACATCGTTTTCGCTACTACTTACAGGTAAGTATTTAAGTTAAAAAATAAACCGAGCTGATTCCTACACCAACTATGTTATAAGCTGATGATGTTGCAATGACTGAAGTGATCATCATCAAACATAGTTAAGAACCTGCATTAAACCCAGATTAAACCAACTTAAAAAAAAACTACCCAACACTGTTATGAAGTAAACCCATTCGCCGCCCCGGTGCAACCCCTATGGGTGTTCTAGTACGCACGGACATGACCGGTGACTCATCATCGGTGACGGCGGCGTTCGAATAAAGAAAAGCCTGGAAGCTGTTCGCCGGAAGTCTTGATGGCAGACTCCAGAACAACCTCGAAAGCGGAGATAGCGAAAAAACACATGACTATTAAATATATCAAATCCGATTAATGAGTACAAGTTAAATTGAGATGTATAGTTGCGTATTATCGAGAAATAAATTGTTGAGTTTTACCGATGCCGATTTAATTTCCGTAAATCGTAACAGTAGGTTGTTAATGGTTTAGTATACGAACCATTTGCTGACCTTATCACTCTTTCTGATACTACTGTTATAAACCTGAGCGAAAAAATTTTCAAATTTCTCGATTAGTTGGATATTTCGTAAAATCCAGAAAAACTATAGGTCACAGCTACGACGGAGATGAGCGGAAAATTTAGAGGAGCTCAAGCGAAGATAAAAGAGAATTATCCATGCGCATATTTTGTTCATTGTATGCCCACCAGTTAAATTTAATTACGCAAAAAGCTGCTTTGCAAGAAAAACAAGTGAACATCTTCTTTGCTAACCTGCATACTTTCTTTTTCAAAATCTCCTAAGAGAACTTCTGTGTTGGATGATAAGTGTAATAAGATTACCTAAGGTGGCACCAACTTGATGGAACTTTGTCGTCACGTGTGTTGAAACTGCATAAACGTGCATTTAAAAAACAATATTAATTAATTAGACAATGAAACCAACCAAAACACTCTATCAGTCAAGTTGAATTTTGAACATTGGCTAGTATTTTTTCATATAATTTTGCCACATTGCGATATTCTTTCTGTAAAAAAACAAAATATTGAAGTTATAACTGGGGAAAAAACGTACGTATAATAGACTTTGAAGGTAATATTAAAATAATGAAGTCAAATAAATGAACCCGAATCTTCATACGACAATTTACTAAAAAGACGAAGAATGGATAAGGAAAATAACTTAATAAAGCGTCATATAGGAATAGAAATATATAATTGACTCTCCAGTAGAGTAAACTACGAGCCGCCACTGCCATCTATATAACAATAATAAATCAACTAGATTCGAAGGTTATTATTGGTGACAGACAAATGGAAACGGACATATTCGTATTCTACAAGGTGTGAAACTGACCCTAGTACAATATTTCGATCAGATACAGTCCGATAAAATTAATAAAATTAATTAAAATCAATCAGAATGAATTGAAAATATATTATCATATTGTCAATTATCCAGTTATTTACAGGGTGAGTCACTAAACGCCTGGTCTTCAATATCTCATTAAATATTAGCGACGGAAAAAAATCAGTGACTAAAGTTTAACGGTTTTTACATTAAAATCACGTATTTTCAACTATGCAG